CTCCCTCCCTGTCTGTTCAGTATCCCACAGATCCCCAGCTTCTGGGGCTTCCCAGAGTATTCATATGCCAGGGGATCCCCTCATCCTAAGATATCTATGGGGACATCCCTAAAAAGCCTGGTTTGTCTGTCTCTTGCTTACTCACCATTGGTCCCACGTGGATTGGGTGTAGATGGTTCAAATCCCCTCATGTCTGTGTTCCTTTAGCCATGGATGCGTAGATAGAGTGGATAAGGAGACGTATGATGTCATAAGGGCAGTTATGACTCAGGCACAAGGATGGCTCCCAATAGTTGAGCTCCCTCCAAGGAAAAGACAAAAGTGTTGGCCATTCTTTTCTGCTGGAAATGGTCAAAGCCCTGAATACAAAAGCCAATACAAATAAAAAAACACCAGAAATACTGGCCCATTGGTGTAAAGGTGTATAAAGATAACCAGTCATTGGTAATATTACCACTTGGTAAAATTGAGGATTCATTTAATGGTTAGCAGTCTATTAATACTCAGAGAATACTAACAAATTATAACTGTTAAAAAATAATTAATTTAGGGACACCTGGCTGGCTCTGTCCGTAGAGCATGAGACTCTTGATCTCGGGGTCATGAGTTCAAGCCCCATGTTGGGCATAGAACTTACTTGTAAGTAAATTTAAAAATAATTTTTTTTAAATAATGAATTTGATCTATAGGTACTGATGAAGCAGGGTATCCAAGATATATTTATAAGGGAAAAAGTTAAAGATCTTTATGATCCCATTCATGTAAATAAAACCATCAAGATACATAATTATACATATATATTGTAAATGCACATAAAGGGGGAGAAAGTTATATCCACCAAATTGCTACCAATGATAATATTAGAAGAGTTGAATTGCTGACCCATCTATACAATGCCCAGGGAACTCCATGAGGCTCCCAGGACCAGCTGGGGCCCCCATCTCAGACTACAATGGGCTCAAGTGCTCTCCTGTCTTCTGCCCCTGAGAGACTCAAGGCCACATCATATGGCTGAGGAGTGGCCACTACAGAAGTTCTTAGCTCTGTTCTTATTTCTGAACCGTGCAAAAGACACTTGACCCAAGACCCTAGACACTAGGTGGGACCCGCCCTACCTCTGCCTGCTCCTGTCTTCTGAAAACCCACCTGGTTAATGTGAGTAGCCAATTAGAGTCACAGCTCCAGGTGTCACTGAGAGTGCATTTGTCACACCTTCCAGAACACTGAGGTAAGCCTCATGACTGAGGAGTGGGGAGGGGCTAAGAGAATAGCAGGTAGCGCTCAAAATGTATCAAAGGAACGTGAGTCCTTCTTTTTTTTTTTAAAGATTTTTATTTATTTATTTGAGAGAGTGAGAGAGAGAGCATGAGGGGAGAGAGGGTCAGAAGGAGAAGCAGACTCCCTGCTGAGCAGGGAGCCCGATGTGGGACTTGATCCCAGGACCCCGGGATCATGACCTGAGCCGAAGGCAGTCGCCTAACCAACTGAGCCACCCAGGCGCCCCGGAACGTGAGTCCTTCTAACCAGACTCCATCAGGAAGCCAGCCACTGAGGATGCCTCACCTGCAGATTTCCCAACTGGCATATGGACATCCCTAGTACTCTGTGCTAATCACCCACATACTCCCTTATCTATGGCTGACTCCCTGTGTAGGCCCCTGAGGGTGGCAAGTAGGAGCCTTTGCAGATGGCTAGTGAGTATGCATAGAAAGCCAGCTGACTCTGTGGAACTGAGAAAGAACACAAATTTGAGCGTTCAGCATTGCCCTCAGGGGAAGCAAATGGTTGGCTATCAGAATCCAGCCTGGCTTTGCAAGATTGAGAGAAGACATACAATCTTAAGGATCCCCTCAAGAAGGAACAAGAAGTATGGAGCTGGTGTATATATAGAAAAGCTCCAAGAAATCCTCAGAATCCTTAGCAGGGCTGACAGAGAGAAAAAGGGGCAGAAAGCTTATTTAATGAAATATTAGCTGAATACCTGAAACTGATGTAAATTGTATGCCAACTATACTTCAATAATAAAAAAAAAAAAGGAAGAAAGAATAGCTGAGAATATACAAACATGGGAAAAAATTTGGACATCCAGTTCATGACACTCATAAGTCCCCAGATTCAATCCAAAGAAATTTTATCAAAGACATATTATAGTAAAACTGTCTAAAATCAAAGATAGGGATGCCTGGGTGGCTCAGTTGGTTAGAGCGACTGCCTTCGGCTCAGGTCATGATCCTGGAGTCCCGGGATCGAGTCCCGCATCTGGCTCCCTGCTCGGCAGGGAGTCTGCTTCTCCCTCTGGCCCTCCCCCCTCTCATGTGCGCTCTCTCTCTCTCATTCTTTCTGTCTCAAATAA